GCGGACATCTGAGAAGCGGACATCTGAGAAGCGGACATCTGAGAAGCGGACATCTGAGAAGCGGACATCTGAGAAGCGGACATCTGAGAAGCGGGCGGAGGAAGAGGTGGACGAGTTTCGGTGGCAGGCGGAGAGTACGTCGAGTTCGGAGAGTGATTCGGAGGACGAGGCGGTGGCAGCGATCCGGGAGGTGAAGGAGCAATTGGCGGCGGCGGCCTGGGGGGAGACGGGGGAGTCGATTCCGACGGGCGATTCATCTGCGCGATTGGCGGTGATGGGTTGCGATTGGAACACAATTGCGGCGTCGGACTTGTTTGTATTGTGTCACAGCAGTGTGGACGGTGCCAAGACCTACGAAGAGGGTACGCCGATGTCTACATCGAACCCGATGGTTCCCGGTTCGATTCCAGGGTCCGGAATTCGGGCGCCGTTGCGAAGCGACAAGATCATAAGAGTGGGTGTGTATTTGTCGGATTTCGGTGCCGAAAAGTTGGAACAAGAGCGCATCCATGGTCCATCGTTTGAGGAGTTGGAGTTGATAGAGAGGCGCAACGCTGAGTTGAAGAATAATGATGGGGAGATAAGTGAGGCGACGGCGTTGGCGATCCGGAAGTATGATCGACAGCGTGCACGTTATTACTATGCGGTGGTGGAATGTGTAGATGTACATACGGCGGAGGAGTTGTATAGTCAGTTGGATGGAATGGACGCAGACTTTGCGGTCGACGGTATCGACCTGCGATATGTCCCGGACGACCTCCAAAAATTCCCGCGACAACCAGAATCAGAGTGCACCGCACTGCCACACAATTACGTACCACCCGTCACCTTCGACTCCAGCTTGAAACATACTCACGCCGAACTCCATTGGGATGAACCTGATCCCCGCCGGCATCAACTCCTCACTAAACGCCATACCGAAGAGGAAATGAACGCCATAGACCTCGAACAATACCTCGCCTCCACCGACACCAGTGACCAGGAAGATGACGCCGAACGCATTCGAGAGGTCCGCAAACTCCTACTCGGCAACACCGCAGAACCAGAATCAGACGATTCAGCGAAGGAAGGCACCTTCTTCATCTCCGCTTCCGGAAACCCCGTCAGGGTCGACGCCGGCGAAACGGAGGCGGAGATGAGCGACCGAGAAGGAGAAAACGCTAAGACGAAGAAACGCCCAGCCAAAGAGCGGTTAACGAAAGAGGACTCAGAGACTCGGAAAAAAGCGACTCGCTCGAAACGTTCCGGTTTTGCACTGCTTAGCGGCGATCCGGAACAGGACGCGGATTCCGAATCGGATGAGGGCATCGGGGACATACTCCTCGCTCATGTGTCGGATGGTCAGGATTCCTCTGACTCTCATTCTGAGCGCAAGCCCAAGGGACGCAAGAGCATTCGCCAACGCCGAAAAAACGCTTTAGCCCAACACCGCCAGAAGAAGCGAGAACGCGATAACACACAATACGTCGAGAGCCTCGTCAAAAAGGACGAACGCTTCGGCGCACTGTTCAACGACCCGGCGCATTTTGCCTAACAATTTTTGCATGAAACCTGAAGCACTACTGCTGCTCCTTGCGCAGTCTCAGCCCGTCAATGAAGACACGTAAGATCTGGCCGATCTCTCACGCTCCCACAACTCCCCATCTTTCCCCCTGCCCGATCTCTCACGCACACGTGTCTTCGGAACATATGCGTGTGTCCGTCTAACCCGCTCACACGTGACCGACTAGTGTGTGCGCAGTGCGGAGAACATGCGGTTGACACAATACCGGCAGCGGCACCGACGGACGGAGGCGGGGCAATTGTGTGCAGCGGCGTTTGTGCGTGATAAGCAACGGTTCACGGACTGTACGGCGACTTTGGCACCGGATGGGGCGACGGTAGGGAAAGAGTGGTGCTATGTGGAAGCTCAATTCAACGTGGGCGGAGCGGAGCCGATTTGGGGCTTCTGTCGACCGGTTATAGATTATGACTATGTGAGGTTGGCGGCTATGGAATCTTTACGTACACGTGTGGATGAAGTAACACGACTGACTGCAAAATTAGCCTCAGACAAGGCTAAGATCGATGACGTACTTGACCGCTTCGAGAAGGTCTGCGCTCATGATGTGCCTGAAATCCAGATGAAGCTGACTCAAATGGACCAACTGTTGGAACATGGACTGCATGCACTCAGTGGCGCCGAACAGGCTGCTGGTTCCATCGCTTCTCTTGACGCTGCTCTCGATGAAATGGCCGCGGCTGCCGAGGAAGATGCGATCCAGGCTCTTAACGATCCCAAAAACTGTCGTGCACTCCGCGGGTACGAAGACGAAGGAGAGCCAGACGGACTACTAGGTGTTTACTTCCCTACTCCCACTTTTTCTTGCGCAGGTGGAGCCGCTAAACAGGTCCGACTCGATCCTACAATTGATTTTGCCTGGACCGCCAGACCCCCCGCTCCTGGTATCTCCTATGAAGCGTTCTCTGTCCGCTGGGAGGGCTATCTGGAACCGCCCGAATCTGGCGAATACCGCCTCTATCTCGAAACTACCTGCGGCGGTCGCGTCTTTGTCAACAAACGACTTCTTATCAACGACCGAATGCCAGACACCGGCGGCAGTGCAATCGCCGACGCGACCGGCGGCGAGGTCCCGCTCTTGCCGCCCAGCGGCGTGAGCGGGCTGCGCAAGACGCAAAGCGCACCGCTCATGCTCACCGGCGGCCAAAAGATCCCATTGCGTGTGGAAATGCTACACAGTGCACACCTGCTGTGGCAGGACGAGGAAAGCTCAGTCGTGAAGCTGTCGTGGTCCTCTAGTCGCATACCGGAGCAAGTCATCCCGCGTGACTTCCTATTCTCCAGTCGCCAACAACCGGTACTGAAACTTTCACACTTGCCTGCGGGCACGACAGATCTGCAACTGCTCGTGCCCGGCGTGGCACCGTTTCTGGAGGACGCGAAGGTCACGGTGGGCGATCTGCCGCCTGAATTGGAGAACGCCAAGTTGCTCCGCATGAGTCGCTCCGTGCAGGAGGCGATGGTGAGTGCGAGTGAACCGCTCGAGTTCGCGACCAATGTGCCCGCGCGACTCTTCGTGGCGCACCCCAACTCGGGAGTTGATAATCCCCCGCTCGAGTCTTGCGGGCGCAACGTGAACTTTGCACCGTACGCTACACCCTACTCCGATGCGCAGGGACTGGACGTACTCGGGTTATATGCAACGCGCACAGGTCGCGAACGACGCGCCAGTTCGGTGGACTATTTCACCATCCAGGTCGCCACACTGGGCACAGCTGGTGGTTACCGTTTCAAGCTGATGTCTGCGCCGTTCCTGGTCTTCTTGCAAGCGCTGCCGGCAACCTGCGACGGCTGCGACGGCGAGGTCCGTGTCCTCTCTGACCCTTCTGACCCCACCTCGCCCTTCCTCTCCTGCGCCGCCAGCTCGACCGCTTCCGATGTGTATAGCTGTGAATACGCACTCAACCGTCTTCACCGCGACGATCGACTCACGACCTGGAAAACTGCCCAGGGCCGCGCAGTCGGAGAGTGGCTGGAAATCAACTTCCGCGAACGCGTTCGCCTCTCCAGCATCGTCTTCAAGCCACTCGACGACCCGCTACAGTGGCCGTCCGAACTGACAGTATTCTTCGAACCCGGTGGCAGCCACGCCGTGGAGCCGCAAAAGTTCGACCTGGTCTACAGCGCTGATCTCGCGCTCCTCAAGTACACTCTGGCTCCCGTCACAACGCAATACGTCCGCATCGAAGTCAGTGGAATGTATGCCGCCACCGCTAGCACCGGCGGAAGTCTGGAGGTGTACGGTTCCGTCTGCGACCAAGGGGAAGCTGACCTCGCTAACCCAACGGGTGCACTGGCTGTAGAAGTTGACGCCTTTGCCGTGGATACCTGTCTTGCAACTGCGCTCGAACTACCGGATCTGCATCCACTACGTCCCAACCTGCTCGCGGACGTCGATTGTCCCGGAACCTGCGACCCCACCACCGCCGCTGGCCGCGTCTTTGGGGTAGGCGTCTACTCCGCAGATTCCGCCATATGTCTCGCAGCCGTGCACAGTGGTGTCTGCGCCATGGACGGCGCCGAAGTCTGCGCCGTCACCCTCATGTTTGTGCCCGGGGCACCCCACTACTCGGGTGCAGAAAAGAACGGGATCATCAGCGGACTCCACGGCGCAGCAGACCTCAGCTTCGTCGTACAACCACGCTCCGCCACGGCCAACCGATCTCAGGCCACTGAGCCGACCATGGATGCGAGCACCTCTTCACGGATCGTTGTCTTCGACGCAAACCCGACGGCCGCCGTGGGTGCCGTCGCCGACGGCACACTCGCGGTGG